ACACCTCCGGTCTGGATTCAATTTCGAAACATCTCCGGTTTGGAAGGAACGATTTTTTACCCTAAGGTATTTTGGAAAAAAACAAGGGCAAAAAAAGAAAAATTGCAAGATATTTTTTAAACACTCCAACAACTACAAGATCCTTGCGTTAATTATCCTTAAAAGTTTATGAAAAAATAAAATAAAGTCATAATGATCTTTTCAAATACCAGCCAATACTTTTGAAACTTTGAATTCTAAAAGAACAATGTTTATGAAAGTGGAGTAGTAGAGTGGACCCATGTCCCACTTTGTGCCCTTTGACCTTATCCGAAGCACTGTACGTTGCCCTTGCCAACATAAAAATATTTGGCTCCGATAAATTCATATTATTACTAGGATGCCCCTAATAAGTGACTTTGAAATTATCTGTAAATAGAGATTTGACTTTGAATGAGACAACAAAAAAATTGCAGCCACAAAGCATGCTAGTTGGAATCTATTTATGTTTCTTACTCCGTTCCACGGCATTCATTGAATTCTCTTAGATAATGACATTGTTATCTTTTGCGGGATTGCCGTCAATTCAATTCTCTTATAGAATGACATTGTTATCTTTTTCGGGATTGCTGTCAAATCAGTAAGAACTTTTATTATCATCATTATAGATTTTTTCTAATTAATTAGGATTGGCTACATGAAAATTAGTATGACATTTTACTCTATTAAAGACCATACCCTCAGAGATGAGCCGTAAAATTCTCAATTGACCTAAAAACAAGCAAGAATATGGCTCTATAATAAATATATTATAAAATTGAAACCGAAACTGAATTTTTATTACGTCCTTAAAAGACCCAAATCCTATCAGTTGCTTTTTGCCAAACAATTTTATGAATTTGTTTAGGGTCCCAGTAGAAGATTTGCTCATCAATATTCTATTTATTTAACCAAAGCTTTCCCCGGTATAACTAGCCCTTATTCTGAGCAATATAGAGACCTTATTTTGAAATTTTATCAATTGCAGAAGTTGTGAGGTCTTGAGCAGAAACAACAAACTGACAACAAATTGCCTCAACTTCCAGGGGCATCAACTCAGCTTCTGGGAGCATAATATCGCATTGGGTCTGTTGTTTAACCTTGAACTCTTCCAACAAAAAATGTTTTTCAATTTCTTCTATTTTTTTCTAATTTTTGTCTACTAATACATGGCCCCAAACTGTATAACCATAAATGACAATTGGTTATACAATATTGTGAAAAAATTGTTTTCAAACATCCCAACGTAAAATGGCTTCCTTTTTGCAATGGCTTCTCGATGTAAAAAAGGCTTTCATACCTCCTGTGATTCTTTGTGCCATGCATTTATCCCATTTATAATTATTGGAACATTCTAAACTCACATATATTATATAATTCTGTTATATATAAATAGGGATACACATATTAGTATTAGATAAAGCTCTTAAAAGTATCAAATTTAACTTGAGCTTTTAGCTATGACACATCTATATAACAGAAAAAAATAATTTTCATTATGTTGAAAAAAAAAATTCACCAAAAATCTTCAAGAAAGGTCTAAATTTCTTTAGCATCGATTACAAAATATTGTATCTTTAATACGTCAACATTCACAAAAATCAGTCACACGCGTACGCAGGTCACCCTGTGGGCGCACGCGAAGAAACCAATGACCACGCGTGTACGAAGCTTCTCCCTAATTTCCTAAGGCGATATGATTTTGACCGTTACATCAAAAAGGCCCACTGCTGGGCCCTACCAGTTTCCCTCTTCGCCGTAAATTGTTTTCGGATAACAAAAGCCCAAAGTTATCCTGCTCCGGTGGGAGTAGAATATTTATTTACTCCCTCAGGTGAAACTTTATGGACAATTAATTTTAGGACTTCAAATTGGGGATGTATCCCCTTAAAACCATAGATTAATGTTAATTAAAATATATTAATTGTATCCTCTATGTATTTGGAAACGTTAATGTCTCAATATTGAATAGAAACTATCTAATTTTTAAATGATGGGATCCTAAGTATTAGAAAACTTAAATTTCAACTTTTTTTAGTAATAGTAATCTATTAATTAATTCTTAAGTGATTCCCAAATTTTGATATTGAAAAATCCTTAAGGTGGTATCTTCTAACTGAGGGAGTAAAAGTACTCTATGCTCATGAGCGGGTACAATATATGTGCTAAAAAAAAGTAGCTAAAAAAAGTTTATAAAAGACAGACAAGGTTGGCTCTTTTTTTTTTCCTTAACAGTGTGAATTAAACATTATTTTTAAAAAAATACTATATATTGAAATTGTCTTAAAAGATCCGTAAAATCTACAATATCCAAATGAAATAGACAATATAGCATAACATAACCTTACTTTTACAAAAAAAAGTTTATATAAAGCCGAGGCTTTGAATAATCAAATTAGAGCTTACATCAAAAATTTCAGTACAAGAGGTTGTTTTGATGCCCAAATATCTTCAAATTGATCATGTCGACATCAAGATATATGAACTTGAGAAAAAAATGTATTTTAAGTTTTGGACATAGTGAATCTTGTAACGCATTTTTTGAACATCAATATTTAAGTTATTTAAGTTTTCATAGATCTGCTTGATCTATACTATTTTTGAAGCTTTAAATTTTATAATTACAGATGAAAATATATTTTATGGCTACTCAAAGATTTTTAGTATTGAAACCACATTTTTTGATACTATTTGAAGGTGGCCTCTAATTTGATTGTGTAGAGCCGCGACTCTATACAAATCGTACCCTATTTACACAAAGGGAAAATATATAATGAAACTACTTACTTTTGGTACGGGTAATCACAATTAGTCTTGACCATTAGATATTAAATTGGTTGGCTGCATTATTTCATTGATAAAACTCAAATTTCAAATTTTTTTTTTTTGATCTTTGTAATACACCCAAGCCATCAGATTTCATATTAAATAGTTATAAGTACTTATGACCTCTTTGTATTGAAGGTAAGTAGTCTCATTGTATATAGAGGTTTGTATAAGGTGCCCACCTTATAGTATGCAAGTAAGGTGCACCTCTAAATTTTTTCGAAGATGTAGGTCCGTTTGATGGAAATGTTACGAGGGCTTGAAAATCCATGTTCAACCTAATTATAAAATTTATAATTTAAAAAACGATACAAATCGAATAGAATCTATGTTCTAGGGTTGAACATGCAGATAGCCTTAAAATATATTTTCATCTTTAATTATAAAATTTAAAGCTTAAAAAATAGTGTAGATCGAGCATAACTATGAAAACTTGAAAAATATTGGAAATTAACAGTAAAAAAATGCGTAACAAGATGCCATATTTCCAAAACTTGAAATCTATTTTATTTTCATCTCCATGCATCTTGATGTCAAGATGATCAATTTGAGGATATTGGGCATCAAAACAATCTCTTCTAGTGAAATTTTTGAGGTGAGTTATAATTTTATTGTTTAGGATCTCAGCTCTATATAAGTTTTTTCCTTCTACAAATAGGGTTACAACTTTATATGGACTTTCTATTTTCAAGATTTTCATATGGTTGTAGACCTACTTGATTTGAACTATTTTTAGAGTTTAAAGTTTTATAATTAGAGATGAAAATATATTTTCAAGCCATCACAATAATTTTCTACACTAAAATAATATTTATGTTAACATTTAGAAGTGCACTTTAATGGGATTGTTTAAAGTTGCAACCTTTATATTTTATTTATTTTTATATCGGCCGATTTTGTAGTTAGGCGGTTAAACCGCTTCCGGCGACGTCCGGCTAACCCTTGTGCTTCAATTTTTTCAAACGCTGAACGACAACCTTATAAAAATGGCACCCTTGTTATGACCTTTCCCCACATAGTTTAATAATAATTTATGAGGGACTCTGCCGACAGTTGGCAAATCATCGAGCACGGCAATAGGCAAGAGTGGAATTACGACTATTATTTTACTGTGCAAATCATAAAAAAAAGTATGGGCATTTACGAACAATATGTTGAAGTGAAGAAACAAACCTAGGAGAAAGGCCGCAGAAGCCAGATTAAGGGAGAGGGAGAAGGGGGAAAATGATAAAGTAACTTTCCTCTATTTGAATTCTCCACGCGCTTTCTCTCTCTTCCCTCTCTCACTCTCTCTCCAATTTTCTTGCAGAGAGAATCTTCATCTCTTGCTCTTATCTTGTACTCTCTCTCTTCTTTTTTCCTACTCTCTGTCTGCTTATTGTGTAGTTGGAATCTGAGGCACTTACAGGTGTAGTACCATTTATATAACCTTTTTGTTTCTGGTTGTGCATCTCGCTCTCTTTTTGTTCTTCTCTGGCGTGCTTCACAAGTAAATTTAGAGTTGCTGGATGGTATGCTTTCTTCTCTGAAAAGCATGAAAAAGATAATTTGCATCTGTCTTTACATTTGGAAGGAATGTTTCTTCTTGATACCTTTGCAGAGTTTTTGCCTTGTTTGTTGTGAAGAGAGCACCAGGCTGTCTCCCTTTTCTTCTTTGCGATGTATTGAATTTGGAGAGAGAGAGAGAGAGAGAGAGAGAGAGAGAGAGAGAGAGTAGTTTACGTTT